TTTGCTTCTATTCAATTTGGCCAGAGCTGATTACATTTTAGATGTTAATATTTCTGGTCCTTCGATATTTGTGTATTGCCAGTTGTTCTGTATTGCTATGGAAGAGTTCTTCCATGTATTCATTTCATCTCTAAAGTATTTTTTTTCTCTAATATCAGTGCCCCCTGCTTGGATTTTTACAATTTATAATTGATTACGTGTACAAGTTCAGTAATAAAAAAAATGATCTTGAGACTGGAATGTAGATGCTCTAAGTATGGCTGAGAAGAAGGCAAAGTGAGCAGAATTTTTAAAATAACTTCATTTATGTGCCAATTTATTTCAGGACATGGATGATCATGGTTCTCCACAATTTCCCCTCTTTTGTTACCCTTACCCTGTTATCATCTGCTTCTGACCCTGTCTTACTATACCTTCCAACTAACTCAGTAAGTAGCTTACTCACTGCTTATTCTTTCTTCTCTTGTTTCTAATATATCCTATGAGTATTAAAATCTCTAGACCTTCTTTCTTCAATATGTGTCTCAGAAATTTCAAGTGTCTTAGCATTTATCAGTAGAATCACATCTCTGTTGCTTCAAGTCTCCTCTTCATCTGTGAGGAAATTGTCCAGCACTCACTGTCATATAGAAGACTAGATATTACATAGAAGTTCAGCATTCTTTTCTTGTCTTAATACTTTGCTTACTTTCAAGATATTTTTCACTATTTATATGTATCTTTAGACTTGTCAAATTTTCAATTGCCTGTTACTAAACTACTCAAACAGTTAAATTTCTATACGTGTTTGATTTTGACATCCCCAATACATAGCTAACATCTTGAATTGCCTCTTTTGCTGACAACCATGCATTCTGAATTCTTGCTTTCTATTAGTACCTTGTATTCTTTCAATTTCCTTTCTGAGTCTGCCATCATTCATGTATCTTATGTTATGATTATACTTGCAGATAATAAATCTTGGTTGATCTTTCAGTTCTATTCGGATCATCTCACTATAGTAGGTTAAATAAATCTGGCCAGAAAATGCAGCCTTGTTTTACTCTATTTCAATGTATTCACATGCAAGCTGTTTATTTCCAGTAAAGATTACAGATTAACAAGAGAAAAATATATAACTTTCTTTCTCATGTACATCAAACTTTTCTTATATTTCAAGTAGGTGGTTGTGTCATACCTTATTAAATGATTATGTATAAGATACAAATCAGACTGTATTACTATTGCTTGCTTTGATAGCTTTCTGATCATAAAGATAGCATTTCTTGTCCCAGTGTCTTGAACAAAGCTACATTGTTCTTGCCCTATTTCCAATCTAATTCTGCTACAAGCTCTATTCATTAAAATCCTTACAAGTTACGTGACTCATTTAAATATAGATGTAATTAACACAGTCAATTCAAATTTATTTCATTTTGTTAATCTAAGAGAAGAGTGACTTGTATATTCACTGAACTAGATAAAGACTAAATATCTAGGCTAAGAGCAAAAATTAAGTTTAAAGGGAATTTCATTACAATGTTTGATAAAAATATATATTAATATTTATGTCAATTGAATATGTATAGTGTGATAGGTTCACTAGAGAAACATTCAAAAATGACAGAAGTGTTATTTTGGGTCAGTATTTAAAAAGATGAGCAAAAATATTCAGAAGAAGATTTCTTTTAAATAGCTATAAGAGATATAGATTTGTTTGTTTTTTAGAAATTAAAAAAAAAATTTCTTAGAAAATTAAAAAAAAAACAAACTCATTTTCAATAATTTTTTTAAAAGTTTTTAAAATATTTTTAAAACATTTTTAAGTAAATTTTAAAAATATTTTTAGATAATTAAAAAAACATTTTTTGATAAATTTTTAAAACATTTTTTTAATTTTTTTACACAATTTTTTCAGGTTATTTTTTTGGTAGTTAAAAACATTTTTTTAATTTCTTGATACTTTTATTTTTTTAGATAACAGGTTTTTTTAATAGATATTTTGAATTTTTTTTTTTTACAGGCTAGCAAATACAATAAAACAAAAACAATGTATTTTTATATAATGGTTCAACTGAACCAATTTTGATGATTCAACTGTTACCACTTTTGCAAAGAAATTTTAATCAGGTGAAAATAAGATCCATACAGGAGAAGAATCATTCAACTTTTATTTTTCTCCTAATTTTTCAAAATATTAAAAACTATTCTTCTCCCTAGTATTAAAACGATTTTTGTCTAAAAAGTCATTCTTTATTGCTGATACTCATTATTTGGGTATCATGAGACAATTACACTTACTTGGGCCAATAGAAGATACATAATTCTACAAATGTCATATCTGTACTAAGGCTAAGCAACATCCATAGCAAAGATTTCTTATAAGCCAACACCTGCAACATTTTTCTTATAAATCCATATTAACAGAAAGAATAAATTTTTCACATGGAATGATAATATGTATTCATTATTTCTGCATATTTGAAACTGAATGAACATGAAATAGTGATATTATCATTTACATATATACTAGTGGGGATACCCAGTGTTGCTTGGAAGATCTCTAAATAATAATATTGACAATTTAATGATATTTTCCAGCCATCTTATGGAAAATAATTTTTATTCTATCTTTAAAAAATAAAAAATTTCATTGTTTTTTTGGTTTGCTACAAAATAACTAAATTTAGGAAAATACCACACTAACAATACCATGCTAAGGGGTGGGGGACTTAGAGGGCTGAGCATCCCCATACTTTTATCCAAAAAGACACTTTATTTTTCAAATGAAATACTAACATAAATATTCTGTTAATGTTGTTCTCAAACAAATCAAATTGATTTATCTAAGTTCATTAACCTTTTTCAAATTATTATTAATATAAAAGTAAATAAACTTAAATTAAGATATATTTAAACATATTTAATCATTTTTTCAAGCAAAAACTATAAGAAATATTAAGTCAATAATACACACACACAGACAACTGTCCTTTATATATGTATAGATAGATGGATAATAATATCCATACAACATAAACATAAAAACAAAATGTGTGTATTTAAAGTAAATCTGTGATTAAAAATATCAAAAAAGGTGACTTATATTGAGTTGGTGCATAATTATCAGGCGTTTTTGTAGGCAAGTTATTTGTTAATAAAAATTGCTGTTTTGTTTACTTTTTTTAATAAAAATATGATTTTATATTCAGGTTATAAAAATGCATGTCGATAATCATACTCATATTTGTCATATTATGCTTTACCACTTCGAAAAAAAGGATAGAAAGCAGTGCAGTCATTTTGTGATCTCAACAAACTTTTTGGCAAAGGAACAATCAATGAAAGTTTATGCAGGTAATGGTTTGCTTGTTTCAAATCTGGCGATATTAGCTTGGAAGATAAGTCAGGAAGAGGTTGACCATTGGATTTCGAACCAAGCACTTTCGACAGCCGTGGAAGAGGACAAAAGCTTGACAATTCGAATGCTGGCTGAAGACTTCAATGTGGACCATTCAACCATCATTCATTGTCTGAAAAAGTTCAGAAAGATATTGACTGGATGGGTCCCTCATGAACTCTCTGACAACAATAAAGCTGAACATGACCAAATTTTCACTGATTTGCTGCAACAAAACGAGCAATCTCTATTTCTGAAGAATCTTGTCACTGGGAATGAATCATGGCTTCTCTTGAAAAACATCAAAAGAAAAAATGTCTGCATTTCACCAGGAGTTTCACCAAAAGGAATACCAAAAAACGTGCACTGTATGAAGGCAATGCGATGTGTTTGGTGAGACAGAAGTGGAATCATCCATTGGGAAATCATCTCAAATGGGCTTTGTTATTGGTGGAATGATGATGATGAGTGTCAACAGTGGCGGATTCTAAACAAAAACGGCAAACAACAATTCAACATCAACAGCGATGTCTATCTGGCTCAACTTGACCGCCTTTACACTGCAATCGTGACAAAAAGACCGCACAAAAGAACCATATTGTCTTACACCACGATAATGCACATCCACATGTTGAGAGTCATGTTGCCGTATGTATCACCAATAAGGGTTAGGAACTGCTTCCACATCTGTCATATTTTCCCACAGAAGCGCCTACGGGCTACCATGCCAATCGATCGATGAAAAATTGACAGGTGAACAAAGTTTATGCCGATTTAGGTAACTTGGTAGTCAATGTCAAAGTATGGATTGCCTCTGAGAACCGTGACTTCTTTGTCTGTAGAATTGACCATCTTCCAAGCAAATGAGAAGCAGTTATTGAAGTAGATGGTGACTACACTAACAAAATAATCATTTAAAAATGTTATTGTTGAATTATTATGTTTATTTTTTGATAATAAATATTGTTTAAAAAAAAAACGCCTGATAATTATGCACCAACCCAATATGTTCATAGAATATCTGATTGTATTAAAGCTACTGAAAATTCCTCCCATAATATCTATGAGAATTTATTCTGTTGTGTTTATACAATTTTTGTTTTGAATATTTAATATTTTTTTACATTTAAATTTACTTTGTTTTAATATTCATTTTTTTAAAGTTACACTTTTATTTACTATAGATATGGAAATAAATTAAAGAGAATAGAAATGTCAAAAATACATATAGCATTTTGAAATTATCAGCAAAATTAAAAAGTAAAAACAAACAGAATAAGAATTATTCCTATTCATTTTTGCTTTTTAATTCTGAGAATTTCAAATGCATTCTAATGTAACTATTATGTATTTTTAATTTTAAAATATCTTTGTAAATACAAATCATATGATAATCTTTTTACAAAAGTCAAGTTGGGTGATACTGTGTCTATATATATATTTAGTTTGTCATTAATTTTAGCAGGACACACACACATTCAGACAACTGCCCTTTATATATATATATAAATATATATATATATATATATATATATATATGCTTGAGATGTAAGCTCTTCACCATAAAGAAATCTATAGACAGACAAACCATGTTAATAAAATTTATCTAAAAATCACTTACCAAGATTATACAAGGCCTCTACACAAGATGAATCATTTTGAAGAGCTTCCTGGTAATATTCTCGAGCTTTTTCATATTCTTTGTTTGAGTAAAGAACATTTCCTTTATTGACAAGAGCTGAAAGAAAATAAGTTTTCATTCAGTTGTAGATTAAATTCATTTTCAAAGGTTTGATTATTTTAGGTTGATATCAACTCATAAGAAATAGTAATCCACTTAGTGCTTCTCTTGGGATTCTATTGCAATCATTTTGATTTAGAGGCCATAAAATACATAAAAACTTAAACTGCCACTCTACCAGATCATAAAGACATTGGAACAAACCTGTAATGCAAGATATTTTCAATAACTTCAGATATTTTTAGAAAAATCACAAAAATGCATTCTTTGTTGTAAACATTTAGGTTTACTTTCTCTTTTTTTATTTTTACTGATGATAAAGAGAAAAGTTTTGGTTATATGAAGAGAGTGCTGAAATGATCTTGGCACAACCAAAAAGGGTTTCCAAGAATAAAATAAAATAAAATTGTGATGTTTGCTCAGATTTTGGGTGGTGGGTTGAATCAACGACTATTCAACACCTACATGTAAATATCACTGATATCTACAAGTAAAAGTTTCATTTTGTATGAATATATATACTCTCTAAATAATCAGAATAGTACATTGTAGCCAGAGGTACTGAATTACAGTTCTTCTAAAAAGGTGCTAACTTAAAGAATGAAAGATTGAGTGGATGTCAGGATGATTTGCAACTAAAAAGAGAATTTTTTTTTTCAAGACCAATTAATTAATTATTGAGTCGGCAGTGTTGGTTTTATCTCATATCCAAGAGTTTAATTTCTTCCTTGCTGATCACTTCCTTTATGATGATGGTGTTGATGACTAAATTTGCTACCAATGTGCAGGTTTAGCACTAGAAATTTCCAGTTTCACTAAAACCTGCTCCCATCATCCATTCCCTATCACCATTTAGCTTTGTAAGAGTTGGTTGCAGGTGAAAGAAAATCGGAGTAGAAGAAAATGCTGATGGCATGAATTTGTTTAAGGTGGACCACAACTTTCCACGAAGTGACACACACTCTTGATTTCATGACCTTCCTCTGTGGCACATATGCAATCAGACATACAGAATCCAGTTATGAAATGGCAATGGACTGCCACTGACTGTTATAATTTCAAAGTGGCATCTTCTGAAGCCCTTCCCATCAAGTGTAGCCCTCTTCATCTACTGGTTTAACTGTTGAGATTTGTTGTAATCATCATCTACTTGTTCCCCTGTTGGGGTTTTTCATGTTGGTCACACTTTGTCTAGCCTATGTCTTCAACTTTGCTACCAAGGGTGGCCCTACTAGGAATTTAGAACTCCTGACAGTATCACTCTCAATTATTGAGTACTAACAAGACAATCTTTCATCAAACCCTATAGACTATAAAATCACAAAGAGCTTTACCAAATAACAAAGCCACATCATGGAATACTTCCAAAAGCAGCAACATCAAAACTGGATAATACATGTAACTAGAAAGGAAAATAATGATACAATATTGACTTTCCACACTACCTTAAACAAAAGGTTAGGAGGGAAACTACCATCAAGACTAGAAATAATGATAACAGTGGACTTAATTTAAAGTTTAATTTCCTGAAAAAATGTTTCAAGAAAAAGATTTATAAATTTTGACTAACAGTAACACTAACTCTTCGGTCAATGACTGCTGAATACTTCTTGTGTGGAAATGACTCATATCAACATTACCATTCCTTATTTATTGTGAGTGAAAAAAAAAGTCTATGTTCAACAAATATAGCTATATTTTTGTTCATGTTACAAAAAAAAAAGAAAAAAAAAGGATAATCTGGGAGGGTGCAAATTCAATAGTAATCTTTTTCCATCATAATTTTCTCAATAAGTCATTGGGTTGGCTTGTTGAACATAAACATTTATTAAAACAAACAAGTAGAGATGAGCAGTTAAAATATCAAAATATTTATAAAAAAACAAATCAAATATATTCAATTTTTCTTTGCTAAACTTTCTATAAACACATTATATATATATTATTCCAAAAGAAAAAAATTGTGATTGCACAAACTCCTGATATACATTTAACATCATAAAGAGATTGATATAAATAAAAACAAAGGAAAATCTTTTTTTGTGTAAAATGTACCTAAATCTCTTTTTTCTCATTATCTTAATGATCTCAAAATATTTTTGGTATTGTTTATCTGGGATAACACGTTTCCTAAAGACATAACAGTAAAGATCACTTTTTTCCTCACATCAAATTTTCCCCAATAAATATGAAAATAGTTACCTGCAGGATTATAACGGTCAGAGGTAATTGCCATGTCAGCATATCTGTCAGCTTGTTGCAGATCACGTTCCTGAAAGAAAAAAAATAGAACAGCTTCTGTTATCAGTCAAATGTATTTTGAAAATATCTACTGCCAGATTCTAAAGATTACTAAAAGATTTAAAATCTTAATTCCTTCCAATGATTTTTATATATTGAACAATTTACTTACCAAGAAATAAAGAAAAGACAAATTTGTAGCTGCAATGCTAGCAACTTTTGAATCCTTCTTCTCAAATGACTTCAGTGTTTCAACAGCCTATAATGGAAAAGATGATAAAACTAAATAAAGGGATCTTAACAACTAATAATAATTTCTGTGACATATTTCACAAAATCTGCATTACAATAGAACAGAATAAATGTGGCTATCAAAATAGCAAAAGAATTGAAATTTAAAAAATACAATTTAAATTTTTACATATGTTACCGCCCCACCCTACTTAATTTAATGAAAATTTGTTTTATTAGTTAAAAGCAGGACTCATTGGAGAATGTAAATCTTTTTTTTTTTCAAACAGCTACTCATTACCCATAAATCTGCCACAAATCATAAAACAAAAGATCCAATAAAATTGACATTATTTAATTAGAAAAAAATTTTATTGCTTTCATAAATAAGATTTATTAAAACACTATTGTCTTAAGAAAAAATTTTTTTGATGAATAATGAATTTTTACAAGAATTGTTTTCATTTTTTTTAAATTTTGCTTACTGAAAATAGTAAATTTAATCTTTTAGCTTTCAATTAAAGCTAAAAAAATGAAAACTTCAAAAAAGGTTTTTCATTTTTAAAAATTCATTTTAAACCTTAGGTATTGCAAATTAGTGGAGGTCCTTAATGTAGATTAAGTGGCCTTGGTTAAATGTAAATAGCAGAACTGCCTGACAAACAGAACTGACAAAGTTTGCAATAAACAGTAACAAGAAAAAGAAAAGAACAGGGCAAAAAAAGCAAGCAAACAATATATGCAAGGCAAAACAACAGTAATATGGCAAAAAGTTCACAAACTAAGAATTGAGGTTGACACACTAGAGTGAATTCAGATAAACGAATGTAGTGTCCTGACTTCAAGACAAGACACACCAGGACTGAGACGGATGAGACTGAGAAATGGTTCTGAACCAAAAACACAGAAAATCTTAAGTCATTTTGACAGAATTTTGCTCTCCATTGCAGCACTTTATGATGTAAAACAATATTGTCTAGTATATTTACAGCTGCAACTTACAAAAAGTGAAATGAATTCATCATATCTTCTTCAACTTAGTTGTTCAGTTGAATATCCTGTTGCCTTGCAGAATAAAGGTATTTTCTTTCTTTCAAGCTTATCTTTCCTCACACTGCCAAAAACAGGTTTTCCCAAAACAACTTCTCAAATTCTTTAGCAAATATTTTTAATTGACAGATTCTAAAATCTGATTCAATGGAAACAATTGATTTCTAAAACTGTCAAGTGCTATAAAGTCTTGAAGCATATATAAGTATAGTGCGTGTAAGCCATCTTTGCTTCTACAATGATATAATTATAGAATCCATCAGTTATCACTTTTTGCTATTAATGAAGCAGAGAAAGAAAAAACAAAAAACAACATTGGTAAGAGTTATAATAATATATATCCTTCAATAATATAATAAAGCAAGTGAATAAGAGGGTACAAGTTTCTCCAGCTTGTTCCTAAATCTTTAAAACAAAATTAAATATTTTTGAATAGGAAAGAAAAAAATGGAAAATTTTTTTTAATGATTGTATCATTTTTTTCAAATATTCTGTTCCTAAAAATTGAACGCAATTAATAAAATAGAGTAAAACCGTTTGCAAATTTTTTTCAATCATGTAATGATTTTGTGTATATGTTTCTTTTTACAAATTTTACATAGAGAAATGAAAAATCTGTATTCTCACCTGCCTGAAGTCTTTCTTTTTTAAATACATTATGGCTTTGTCAATTTCCAGATCATTTGCTAATTCACTGTATTTGGAACGCTTGACTGCATCTACACACCTGAAAAATAAAAGTCATAATTATACAAAGGGAAACAATTCAATTATAACAAAAGAGAGAATTAAAAATACTACTTTCTCTCTTCTACTTTTTTCTGACCAAATTCTCAAATCTTTTTTGGTACAATTGTTAGATGGATTCATTGTATTCTCCATTTGATTTTAAAATAAAGTCTATTGAATTTAATCACCTTTTATTAGCAAGAAATAAGCATTCTTTTTGTTCCTGTTTGAATAAGATGGGAATTACATATCAGGGATGTCTAAATCAAACAAGCGTGGAAATTCAACTCACTGGAAATTATAACAGATGGCAGAAAGTGTAACACAGAAAATTGAAAGCAGATAGGAATATCAAAAGATACTTTTTGGAAACTGAGTAAGGTACTATGGGATTGAAAAACAACAGTAGAAACAAAGAAAATAAAGTTGGCTTGCTATATGATATGAAACTGAAAGCTTGAGAATTCTGTCACAAATCCTGAAAAGATTTAAGGCAACCAAAATATGATTCTATCAACCAGTCAAGGAATGACATGGATAGAGCATGTAATAAATGAGGAAATTTTATAAAGAATAGGAACTACAATAACACTATTGCTACATATTTTTACACATATGTGGCAACATTACCTGTTATAAACATACATACAAGCTGTGTAGCTCAAACAATATCAAGAATTACTATAGTTCATCTTGTAAAACTGTATCTCTTTAATCAACTGGTTCAGATTTGAGATAAACAGGAATTATTTAGTCTTCTGTATATCAAAGTCTAGATGACAGAAAAAAATTAAAAAATTAGCTCAGGAATAAAATATATGATTCATGACATAATGAAAAGTGCTTATATATTTGGAAAAGAAATCAGTGACGTGCATTTCAAAAAGTAATAAATTACAAAAAAGCTTATGATATGCAATGATTTTATAGCAGCAACATAATAAAACATCCCTATGAAGTTTATACAGATAATTATTTTGAAATATTATACAGATTTTATTATACATTATTATCCATAGACCAGAAAAAGTTAAAATCTTAAGATGTTACTAAGATTAAAGTTAATACTATAAAACTTTAATTTACAATAACTAAATTTTTGTTAATTTCAATGCTGAATTCACATTAAGAAATTTTTAAGAAAATAACTTGGCTTCAGTCACTTGCCCACCACCTCTCTGTGCTTTTTTTATAAATACTTTCATAATAATTGTTCATATGAACTCTCCACTATGGTACCTAGACTTTATGAATTTAAGCACAATACTAGACTGCCTGTGAGATCGCATCAATTTACAGTTGTGCAAGCTAAATGTAGCCATAACTTCTATTGTAATTGTACAACACCCTCCCCAATCATTCAAGATTTCCAACACTACAGCTGATCGATGAAGATCGCTTCAATCTCAGACCTGCCCTATCCCATATTATGATTTAAGTTTGATCATAAGGAGGCCAAGATCAAATTGTCACAGGTATCTTTGTGTCAGGCTGGTCCAAGCAGGGCAAAGATGTACAGGGAAAAAAATAACTCGAATAAATTGAACAAAAAGCAAATACTGTTTTTATATCAGTCCTTCGTACAATAATTGATTATATCAGAGTTTGTATGCAATTAATTATCAGCCCAACCCTAGTCTAAATTGGAAGTGATATTATTGTTGACTTGATTTGATTTGGGTTACTGTTTTGGTAAAGTTTGTCATAAGGCTGAAGTTGAGGGGGGTTCTCTTCGACAGGCAATCATGTGAGGTGTATCACGACCAGTGGCTAGACAAACTATCTGCTGTCTCTCTCCTGTCTCCATCTCATCTATGTCTCTAGTCTGATGAAGTCGCTCCACGCATTCATATTTATTGACATTTGTTCAAACTGGCGCGGGGCACAGCACTCTGTTATCAGCTTATTTCAGAATTCTGGGGAATTCCCCTCTTTCATATTATCACCTCTCACTAAATCTCCTCAGTGAGTATGGGTGGCTCATCCAACCCCTCCTAGTATTTCAACTCAATTTTCGAACAGGAGAAATCAACCCCAAATTCATGGTTTACGAAAATGAAGTTTTTGCTTTACAGCTTACATTTTCAGCTGCATAAAACATGTCAATCATCTAAGTCTATGTCATTTTCCATTGTTCAAACCCTCAACACACCAATTCCAGGTGCCATCCGTGAATTAAATTGTCAATCTTTTCCCACGGATTTTAGGTATTAACTCTTCTTGTTCCAAAGTCTTTCATTATATCGCTCCTTCTATCCATAAGAAAACTTATGTTTTACCAAAACTTTCTTCTGTTTTACCGCAGCAACGCGAAATAATATTACATTATGCTAACAGTCTCTTTTCTCACACTTCTCATTTAAATGCAATGCCTGTCACTATCTACTGTCCTCCTGAATACTCTTCTTTTTTCTTTCAACTCATTACTAATGTTTCTGTTCTGAATTCCTCCACACCCTGTAAGCCCTTGTGTCTTAGAGGCTGTACTGCCTTGCTTGGGGTGATACCAATTAAAAAAATAAAAATAAATTGTCTAGCTTTCTTTTAATATACTTCTCCCAAAAGTAAGTGTACAAGAGAAACTCAGATTATTTAACATTTATTTTCTCATACTTATTAATTATTATTTTTAATTATTTCATACAATTAATAAAAAAATTACAATACAAATAGTGATAATTAAGTGGCTGATATGACATTTTGCTGGTTACATAAACGGTTTCTTTATGAATTAAAATTCTAAATTTGTTTCAAATGAACAATTTTATTATAAACAGACACATGAAAAAATAATGCATCTATGGCACTAAAAACAAGATATTTTATTTGAACTTCTGAATGAATTAAGTTACTTGTAGACATAGCTAGATTGATGTCTTCTGAAAAAAAAAATAGATAAATCAGGGTGATATTTACAGAGAAGGATAAGAAATCAGATCTTCTATGTGTCATGTCCCTTCAGGACTTAGACAATCATGGCTCTCTACAACTTCCTATCCTGTGTGGCCCTTAGCAGTTTTTCTCTCTTTGCTAAGTTCTCCCCACTTCTACATTCCACCATTCATTCACATAAGCTTGTCAGGAAAGTCAAGCTTGCTACCTTCCCCTCTCTTACCCTCAATGTATATCCAAGGAATTTCATCTGTCTTTTCCTGATTCTGAGTAGATGTGCTCTTTTCGTTGCCATTTACTTTAAGACTCCCTTGTTGCTTACTTACTCTGTCCATGGAATTTTCAGTTTTCTTCTGTAGAACCACATTTCTGTTGGCTCCAGGTTCCTCCTCCATGTGGAGATAGTCCAAAATTTACTGCCATATAAGAAGATGGATATCACATAGCAGCTTAACATACCTTTCTTTGTTTCTAACAAATTTTTTTTCCATTTCTCACCACCTTGCTTAGCTTTTGGAAAGCTTTCTTTGCTTGTCCTATACATATTCCAATCTCAGTGTTGCATTTTCCATCCTCTCTTGAAACTTCTGTACCTGCTCAATGTTCACATCACAAATTCGTAACTCATATCTTGGGCATTTTCTCCTGCTGGTGACCAAACTTGCAGCTGATGGTTAGTCCTTTTTTCTCACTTTGTTTTACTACTCTGTCTAGGAGATCCTGTAGTTTTCTTTCCAAGTCAGCCATCAATACAGTGTCATCTATGTATCTTATATTAAGATTATGCCAACTGATAATAAATGCCAAAAAGAAAATAGAGGAGTCATGCCAAACAGAAAATCATGAGCAAGCCTTGTAACTAAATATTTCCCACTTGTGTTGAATCCAAGTAAAGACCAAGATTTGAATGTTCATTTTTCACAGCAAGCAGGCAATCACTTCTCACTGGTGCAACACAATATTCATACTCCAATTTGATGTTGGGCAAGGCAAAGTTTAGCTTAATAAAGACCACAATACATTTTTTTTTAAATTACAACCTCCATGTATCTGAGTAATAATTTAGATGAAAAAAAATAATATTTTTACAAACTATTTTGTATATTTACCCAAAATAATTTCATTTACTCACCAATCATAACCAGAAGCAAAAGAATTGTCAATATGAGGAGAAATGATTTTGGCAGCAGTTTTGATACATTTTTCAGCTTCATATTTTCTATAAAAAAATAAAATGCAAATTATTCATTAAGGATGATATTTTAAATCAAGCAAATTTATCTAGTATGAAATTTTTGTTTTTTTTTTCTTTTTAAACTAAGAAAGTCACCTATTTCTATACAAAAATATATCCAAATTTAAAACTAATATTTATAATCACAATAAAATTTAAAATGACTGATGAAGGTTTAAAATTTAAATAGTTCATAAGTAAGTTAAAAATGTAAAATAAAATTTTGTATTAACTCTGAAACTTTTGCTGAAATTTTAAATTATTTTATGATATATCTTTGACATGGATGATTGAATTTATTTGAAACAAATTATCAATTAAATTCAATTAAGGAAAACAGATCTTAAATTTAAAAATTCACAAATAATTTACAGAAAAATTGAAAAACAGAATGCTTAAAATTGAATTTTTTTTAATTTTAAATAATTATTCAGACCATTCAATATCAGAATTCTAGTCTTTACAAAACTACATTTTCAAATAAACATTTAACAATCATCATAAAGAAACAGTGTGCATAAGGATTATTTCCTCATACAGAAAATAGAGATAAATTATGGGTTGATGCAAAAGTTTTTTAAATAAAATCTTTTATTTAAATAAATTCATAGTCTCATTATTCTGTTACCAAAGTAGTTTTCACTGAATTTTTCCTGCCATCTTCCAGGTGAATTATTTATCAACATCACCAGTCAATATGCTTACACAGAACAAAGTTTTTCTTCCACTGTATCATTCAACTATTGTTTGCTGTAATATATGCAGGTCAACAACTTCTTAAGGTTCTTTGCAATTTGACAAAAAAGGAGAGAGAGAGAGACAAGTGTTAAAATACTGACCAATGGTTGACACTGTAAAGATCATGTGGAACATATTTTCACAGATACTGAATTTTTACTAAAGCTGAACAATAGTAAGCTATAGTCAACTGATTGCACAAGCAGGAAATAGTTTTGAGTAAACTTCAAAAAAACTTCTATGATTGCAAAAGTGACGTTTGAAACTCCTGCACAACTTCATATTTAAAACTTACTTTTCCCTTTCTAAACGCCGCAGGGCATCATTCTTTATTACTTCTATAAATTGATTGTGTTCTTTATTGTCCTAGCAACAAAAAAAAAAAATAATTTCAATATTATTAATGAACTTTCTACATATCAAACAATGTAGAAAAATAAATAATGCAGTTGAGAAAATCTAGATAAATAATAAAATGCTTATTTATTTATTTACAGTTAAAACATTTCAGTCATTGTGCCATCCAGCCTTCTTCAGGTATGTTAAACAGGACAATGGCAGAGAGAATTAAAGAGCTGGTTAGTGTATTTGGAGACATAATAAATGTTAGTTCAATCTCTGAACCAAGTAGTAATATTAAACACAGATTCAGTAAAAAGAGGACAGACAATAACAATTAACCAAGACAAGATATCTGGATAGCAGAATGAGAACAATCTACTCTCATAGAGGGTAGAGTTTGAAATTCTCTGAGGGCTACCCAGATCAAAAAGTACCTGAAGAGTACCAGAGGGCACAATGGGTGAAACATTATGAACATAACAAAGATGGAACATTACTTCAGCTGTAAATAACAATAACTCTCCATCTTAGAAATTAATAAAATCCTTTTTGGTCAAGTCAGATTTTTTTATAAATTTATTTATTTTTGCCACTTGTTAATACCAACATCAACCCAAGAGACTTTTAAAATTATATCATGAATATTTACAAAAACATTAACTATAATTATCATTAATAGACATTTTACCAACTTTATCCTGATTAATATCGAAGTTGTACTTAAATATGTAATCAGTTAAATAAAATAAAGAAAACAGTCTTAACCCACTTTAATTCAAATGCTATTACAAGCTTGCATTTCAAATTACAATACAATTTATGTTGTTGGAATAAAATTTCCTATGGTTTTTAAATAAATTTAATGTTCTACAAAATCCGACGACTTTCCTTCCAACCAGATATTTCAAATTGTATCCAAATATTAAATTTGTAAGTATTGTAAAAATATTTTTTTACATGAATGCTTTTTTAAAAGTCAAAGAAATGTGAATCATTTCCACATACCAAAATAACACAGACACGTGCATTTTATCGCTAATTTGCTAAGTATTTGAAAGATTTGATATTCATAATTAAAGGAAAAATTATATCCATAAAGTAAGCCCAAATAAGAAAAATCAACGATGGTTAGGTTAAGTGTTATATAAACAAAAGAGAAACAACTGTAAAGGGGAAAAAATTCATTTCTTATATTTAGGAGTTTTTCCCCCTTAATTTTACTTCTTAAAAGATTTTATTGGTATAGGTGCACCCAAAAAAGCATCAACTTTATTTTTTTTCCAGCAAAAAATAATGTCACGTGGGCAAAATCCTTTGGATGAGACATGACGCCACTCTTCCTGTACATGCGTGAAAAATTTTCGCGCCAGTAGGTCGTGTCAGTTCTAGGCTGTTACGCCTAAAGTACAGACGTGTAGTGTGTACTCATTGGACTTTCACTTTCACACAAGATTACCAAATGCATCAAGCAGAGATGTTGCATTAAGTTTTACCAAAGGTTTGGTGATACTCAATCTGAAACCATCTAATAGATTCAGCAGGGCTTTGGTGATGATGTCATGGGTAAAACACAGATCAAGGAGTGATATAACCTCTTCAAACATGGCTGCCCTTAAGTGGAAAACAAGGCAGGCCATTCACAAGTTGAAACGAGGAGCTGACTGAGAAGGTTCAGCAAATAGCGAATTCCATTTTAATGGGGGATTTGTGCATGCAAAAAGTGTCAGTGAAAATTGCCCACTCATTCTGCCCATATAATGCAAGCTTTCCTGGTTAAGAAGAACACATCATTGGTTTGACAGGCTACCTACTTGGCATCATGTGACTTCTGGTTCTTCCACAATCTGAAAACTCTGAAAGAGAAGTGATTTGAATGACAGGAAATTATGCGAAAAGCAACAGTGCAGCTTCATAGTATTTCAAAGAAGGCGTTTCAGAGATGTCACCAGCAGTGGCAGAACTACTGGGTGAAGTGGGTGAACTCTCAAGGAGAGTATTTTGAAGTTGATTAAATAAAATTTGTGAAATGTACAAAATTGATTTTTTTATGCTCAAAGGTCAGGCACTTTTTGAACACACCTCATATATTGTTATTATTATCAGGTTTTTCTCATTCCCAAAAGAAGAAGCCCTCACAGGCTTTATCATATATATAAATCTTTATGATTATAACTAATCACTAGTCATAGGATTCAACCGATTTCCTTTCACACTCTTATCCAGACGGCTTTATGCTTATTCTTCTTCTATGTGCCATGCCATGTCCCTTCAGGATATAGGTGATCATGGCTCTCCACAACTTCCTGTTTCTTGTAGCCCTTAGTAAAGTTTAGTTAAAGTCTTCTTATTATATTTCCTAATCCCTGTTCTCTCAACCATTTACACAAGCTTGTTAATTAGGTTATGTGTAGCTTTCCTCTGCCCCTCTTGCTATCCCATCAATGTCCAGTGAGTAATAAATTTTTTCAAGCCCTCTTTCCATATTACGTGCTCTAGAATTTTAAACTGTCTCTTTACTGATAACTATATGTAAATTTTTTGCAACAAAACTGATATAAATCTTTTAGAGTCAAGACTTGTTTCTATCACAAAGGAAAACAACCTGTTTCTGTCAATAATGATGTCAAAAGTTATGGGTTGCACTATATAAAAGCAATGTAAGATGACACCACCGTACCTTGACACCATGGAAATTTCCTGACCTATGTCCCTTGGGTTCAGTCATCTAGGCTGCTCATGGGAAGGCAATGCAAATTCAGGATTTAAATGTGGCATAACAGTGGGTGCCAGATGGGTAGGACATTCCATTTATGAAACTGTGATGACATTCAACATCTCTTGATCTACAGTGTATTAAGAATACTTGATAGATAGCATTACCACCCACCATGGAGAGCACAGTGGCTGATCATGGTTCTTTAATGATCATGAACAGAGGCATTTGATTTGAATTGTTTGCAATAACAGACAAGCAACATGGTTTCAAATCATATTTATAGCAAGAAGTATCATGTCATTGACCGGTGACTACAATGTTACACTGCTTCATAAACATTTATACCCATTCATGGTCTCTAGATATCCTGCGACTTTTGGCCAGTCAGTGTATATTAACTGAAGGAAAGATTCTTGCATACACTCTTTGAGAACAGAGATAAAGAAACAATTCTCCACAATTGGACATACATTTATATCTCAGTTTTTAGCCCTCTGTTAATAGTGTGGGTCATTGTCACAGTATTAGTACCTGTATCCAGAACATTCACCGTAAGCATTTTTGCCATAGGAAATTTCACCATATAGGATTTTTACCGTACGACAATTTCACTGCATTTTTTTCAATACCCTTATCTTGAATATCCCTTTTAGAGTAATGTTCAATTTAATATGCGACATACCTTGTTATCAATTATATATGGATGCCTTTTTTACAGGGTTAAACATCATTCTTTGATCAGATATTTTATATTGAAGTTGGTTGCATATTCAAATTGTAAGTTTGTTTCAAATAATATATATTGCCTGAGTAAGAATTATTGGCAGACTGATATTATGTTAACAGAAAGTTTAACATTAAGTCTTAAATATGAAATTGCGTGACGTTGGTTCTGGCGTCAAGTTGAATTTTTTGCACTCCTCACTGACGAGGATGAATGATGTAGGAATTGGATCCTATAACTTTGCTTATTAAAATGTTTAATTTAAGTAACAATAGTATGAGCCAGATATACTTGACAACAAAGTACTTCACATATCAAAAAAAAAATACAGCAAAATTGTCTTATGGCAAAAATCATATACAGCAAAGTTTTCTACAGCGAAAACTCCTGAGGTGAGTTTTCCTATGGCAAAAATGTTTATGGTGAATGTTCCTAGAGCGATTAGTACCATGGGTTTGCAAACACCTCATTTAAAATATTATAAATATATCATTTACTTCTTAATTTTTGTCATATAATGTCATGAGTGTTCTTTCTGGATTTTATAAATAAAAATGAAATATCTAAAGATTTTATTTTGTAAAATCAAATTAAAAAGTAAATATTAAAAATAGAATTTTTATATTTCAAAAGTTCAAATATGAAAAAATAGGTTACATTTTATTTTCAGTCAATAAATGAATGTAAATCCTACAAATATTATGACTAAAACTGAAAATTCCTTATAGTTATTTGAAAAAGATAAAAAAGTTACATGGCTAATCATGAAAATCTGACTTGCCATTTGCTAAGTTTTAAAGAAAAACATTTTGTGGTGCGTTCAAACACTTCATGGCACAAACAGCAGGTTAAAAATATATTTCCAATTATTATATTAGTATGTAATACTTCTGGATATCATTTTATTACATAATAACAATAGAAAATCGACCCCTATTTATATCCAGTAGCATCTTATATTAATACTTGTTTACAGTCATGTGCTTGTAATTCTTACTATGACACTATGTGACACTGGTAAATGGAAAAAAAAAATACCAAATAACATATAAACTGAAAGAAGGAAGCAGAAATGACTTGAAGAAAATGACTTTATTGTTTTGAAACTGATATTACCAAAGGGCCATCTGGAAAATTGAAACTCACAAGGATAGAAGGGCATTTGAATTCGACCGAGAATTTTGTTAACCAAGCCAGAGATAGAGAAATTAATTTATAGCCACTTACTAAAGTACAGGTTATGAAAATGTCTCCTGGTGACCAGACAGGAAAGGAAGTCGATTGAGTGATATTTGGTAATTTTTGAAGACAAAAGCAGAATTAACAAACTGATTTATTTCACCTGTCGAAAAGTGGAAATTGTAAACAGCTCAATAAATAGAATTTCTTAAGATAAGGAACCAGGTTTATAAGTATGATTAAGTGAATGAGATATGGAGGCCAATACTTGCTAATAGCTGTTAGAGGAAACAGATGGTAAATTTTTGATTATATAAACAAGACCTTAGGCTTGGAAAAATTTCTTGATGAAAATTAAAAGATAATTACAGTTAATGACTAAAAGTTAAGCCCTGCCTTTTCACTTACTCGGTTTAAAATCAGATTTGTCAAAATGACAGCCAAGGTGAAGGGCTTAGATGAAATACCAAGAGGGACAGAGGAATTGCATACACCCATTGGAAAACAATGGTGCAAGGTATAAATAAGAGAAGATATGAGTTATACGGGTGGGTCAATGACTGCAACCACTACCCACAGGAAGATTGGAGAGATAATTAATTTTACAAACAAGACAACAAAGAACTTTTGTTGGAAGACAGGGGAAACCCTGAATCCCTAAACTCCATCAGCCCCCCACCCCTGCCAGTCTTGAGTAAGTGTCAATATAAGCAGACTACTGTAGCAACTAAGTCAGAGAGGAGAGCTGCAGTTGAAGCCAAGGACAGCGAGAGACACAGGCAAGACCAGACAGCAGGAGGAGCTGCTGAAACCCACATGACCTGCCACCAAAGAGAATTCCCAACTTTGAACCCTGTTCCAAGAAATTCACACCAATAGGCAAAAGTGTCACTAAAGAGATTTTAGTGGGAAGGTTTAAGTTTGTACACCAAAAATTGCATAAAACCAAATCAAAAATTACCCCAAGACTTTGTTTTCGTTTGCATTACTTCTGCAAAAAGACATTTCTATTTTTTTAACATAGCCCAGTTCACCATGGTCTGAGTCAACGCATCGATTACTGCTATTAATCAATCCCTACCAGCTCTGTGATCAAGAACACAATGTGGGCAAAGTGAGGTGGACCAAAGACAGCAACCAACAACCATTGAACCACAACAGTATCAAACAGCGTGGGATTGACCCTGCAATCATTGCATTGTCCTACAATCCTGATATACAATACTGCTCTGGTATAGACAGCATATGGCATAGGTCAAACCCAGAATTGACCTCGAGGTTATATTACAAATACCATGACTAAAATTAGAAACATACTGTAGTTATTTGACGAAGGTAATTAGAAAGATGCTGGACTATCAGGAAAATTTGACCAGCCATTTATTAAAATGTTAAATATTAAGGAAAATCATTTCATTTGGTGTTCTAGCAGCTCACAGTAGTAATGGAAAAAAATGATTAACTAAAGAAAAAAAAATAGTAAAAATTAGTAAAATATTTTTTGAAAACCAAGATATGATGAAATCTTCTAATAATCTATTTGGGAAAATATTAATAAGATGCTCAAGAGGAAACAACATTGATGTCATTCTCAACTTTCAGTAAAATATCCTCAAAGATTTCCAGAGAAAAAATATCTTACACTTGATTGGTATTTATCCTCATCATCAAACTTCATGTCAACTGTAAGCATTTGTTCAAATGCCCATTTCATCTTTTCCTGGTCATTCAGTGCAAAATAGCAGAGGATCAAATTAAAACCAGTTTTAAAACTTGGAGAATCATTCATGATATGTTCAAAAGATGACACTGCTTCTTCATATTTACCCATTTTGACAAAGGCAATTCCAATATTTTGCATTATTTTCATTCTGGAAAGAAGAGAATTCAAAAATATTGCCAATTGATATATTTTTTATAATTAAATAAATTATTTATTTTCAGATATTATCAATTTGATGGGAGGTTGAAATAAGAAGTTGAGATTTTTGTAATTTCACAAATTTATATGATTTAAAGGACAAATATCAGATGTTTAAGTTTCATCCAAAAAACATTCAATAAAATAATATCAATTATAATTATAATTTTGCAAATGACAGAAAGGAAGTTCTGTCCCACAATAGTTGATACATTTTCATACTCATTTCATTCATTAAATATAACAACTGTAATGAGACAGAGGGAGCATCATTTTTTTTAAAATTTAATAATTATTACTTCTTGTGTCCTAGAATAGTTGTTACATTTAGTGAATGGAATGTTCATGCAAACTGAATAACTATTATGGGATACAGACAGTAATAATTATTAAAATAGTTTTCAAAAATATACTGTATCCCATAATAATTGTGACATTTTCATGCACATTTCATACACTAAATGTAACACCTATTACAGCACAGACATAGCAATAATTGGCAAACATAGATAAACATGTCTGTAATAAGATGCAGTATCAAAAGGATGGTTTTCCTGTTAACACCGCCTTTTATTTTAACTCCCATCACTCTTCAGCAATGTTTATTGTTTTAAAAAGTGATTATTAGAATTTTAATAAAACCTAAACATATGAAAGTGAATTTATACATTTTCTTTGTTCTTGAGAATTGACAACAAATATGATCAACACTATTTATTGAATTGTTTATTTACACTATTTATTATATTGTTTATTAGAATGGTTGGCAAAACATAGGCTAATTGCCAATTGATTCAAACTTTATAAAATAGTAAATAAGGATTTCCTTATAGTTGGTTCACATATTTTAATAATTTAGTAAATGCTTATAAATTTATGAATAAAAAATTATTTTTATATTTATTTCTTTATAAACTGGTAAATGATAAATATTACATCGAATTAGTTCTAATTGTATTAGTTTTTAGAATGTTGTAAATATAAAATTATTCTTGTTAATAAAAAATCTAATAAATAATGTTTAATATTTTTGTTGTCAATTCTCATGAACAAAAAAAAATGTACAAATTCATTTTCATCATAGGTGTAGGTTTTATTCCAATTATAATCATCGCTTTTAAAACAATAGAACATTGCCAAAAGTAGTTAAAAATGTGGTGTCATGGGAGAAACCATCCTTTTTATACAATGTCTTATTGCAGGCACATTTGTCCATGTTTGCCCAATTGGATATTAAAAAAAACATACTACCCATAATAGTTGTTATATTTAGTGTATGGAATGTGCATGCAAATGTAACAATTATTATAGGACAGGTTATTCAAAAATCTTAATTATTATTACAACATCTGTCTCAATACAATTGTTGCAGTTAGTCTCTGGAATGTGTATGCAAATGTAACAATTATTATTGGACAGACTGAGTATTAGAAGTGGACTATTAATTTGAACTTGACAAATTTTTAGGCCTTAAAATTGTCAAGAGCTTATTTTGAAAATTAGATATATTTGAAAGAATCTCTTTCCATCTGCATCAACCAAAAGAGAAATATGGATGTTGAAATGGACTTGTAAAAGTGCATCTTCAGATATTATCACTTTTACAGAATATAGATCTCTAAGCCACAATATTATTTACATAACTCAAATAGGAGAGTTGAAGCCTAATGCAATGCACCCAACAGAAAACAGAAAAGAAATGAGTCAAGTTACCTTATTTCTTTTTCTAATTGAGAAAATAAATAAATATATATATATATATATATATATATATATATATATATATATAAACTACTACTACTATCAATATGCTAAAAGATGAAAGATGTGTCTTTAAAAACTACTGTCATTTTTTATTAAATTTAACCTACCACCAACTGAGATTTTTGGTAAGTAGTGGTGCACTAAACTTTTACACAGAAGTCTTTTTTTATTTAACTACAGTCAGATGACATCAGGAGTATAATTTGTTTTGGAGATAAGTTTAGCTGCTTTCATAGTTTAGTCATATTTATAAGTCAGAAAAAACAAAAAGAAGCAATAAACTGTAAAGAATAATTATCATCTGTTGTAAGACAAACTTACTTCATCTCTTTATGTGATAATTGCACTTGATCCAATGCCATGCGATAAAATTTGATGGCTTTCTGATAATTTTGCTGTTTGAAATAAATGTTGCCAATATTTACTTTCAGTCGGCCTGAAGAAATAAAATGTGAGAAAAATTGAATATTTACATGCAATTGTAATAGAATGTGTCAGGGTGCAAAAATATAGTTACATATCAAATCACTAAAAAAGAGTAAGTGATTTATCATTATTGGTTTGTTATTAAATTCAGATGAATAAAAACTATAAAAATCCTATGAATATATAAAAACACAGGGGATTTATATAGAAACAGCTGCATGCTGTTCTTGTTATCAGCTAATCTAAATTCCCAACAACGAGATTTTGTAGTGCACAACAAAGATTATTTACACTATTTACATCATTCAGACTGTTATCCTCATCTTTATTGCCATATTCACATTTTGGCTGTTGTATGCCTTCTTCAGGTGATATATATTGGAATTTCAAATCAAACCCTTTATTTAGTCCATGGGGGTAGATTGTTCTAATTCCACATGCCATACCTTTTTTAGATATCTCAGTTTCAGCTAATTCCAGCCATCGTCCTAAAGAAATGTGCTCCTGAGCAGGTTCTACAACTATTGCCTCTCTGCTTCCTGCTTTCCAGTTTGTTTGATCCTGTTTTTAAGAACTCTGGAGAATCTTCTGACCCCTCTAACTATTAGTCTCCTACTGCTTTTCGACAAAGTATTCAAGGCTTTAATCAATGCCGAGGTGGTTAAGTATCTTACCTCTCACAATCTACTCTCTGACAAATAATATGGCTTCCGTTTTGCCTGGTCTACCACTGATGAGCTTACACCCATAACTGAATATGTATATCAAGCTCTTGATAAGAACGCCAAAGCTCAAGCTGTGGCTCAAGATCTCAAAGAGGTCTGACAGGGTTTGGCAGATTGGTCTTCTACATAAGCTCCAGAACTATGGTATTACAGGATGATTTTTTTTATTTAATCCAATCATTCCTATCAAATCATGAAATGAAAGTTGTTTTGAATGGGCTCACTTCCAGATCTTTTCACAAAAATGTGGATGTCCCCAAGGTTCTATCCTGGGTCCTATGCTGTTTCTGATCTTCATCAATGATCTTCCTGATGTCATCAGTTCCCAAGTAGGCATTTATGAAGATGACACTATCATTTGCTCCCGTCTCAATAGCAAATCTGTCAGAGCTGACAAAGTTAACCTGTCTGCTGCTCTTGAAAAGAACCTCCAATTAGTGGTTAACTATGGCAGGAAATAGCTTGTAAATTTTAATGCCTCCAAAATGAAACTGCTCTCATTTAACCACAAGAGAAAAACTTTCCTGCCTGCCATCAGCATGGCTGGTGCTAGACTTATGGAGAGCAACACAATGCACCTTCTTGGCCTTACATTTTCAAGTGACATGAAGTAGAACAACTACATTGAATCAATATCTGCATCTACTGCAAGGAAAGTTGTCACTGTGTTGTGCCAGGAGGATTTACATCTTGTACAATTTCAAATCTACCATTCGTCCATGCATTGAAGACTGTTGCCATGTCTGGTCAGGTGCTCCTGCTATTCATCTCAAGTTTCTTGACAAAATCCAAAGAAGGATCTGCAATGTAATTGATCCTGACTTGGCATCTCGACTACAGTTACTTTCTCACTGACAGGATGTGGCTTCTCTCTGTCTTTTCTACAAATATTTTCATGGCAACTGCTCTGATGAGCTTTTTTCTCTTGATGCTCTGACTACATGAATTTAAGTGTACTACTAGACTGGCATCTAGGTCCCACCTTTTTACTGTTGAAATCGTTAAATGTAACCACCACTTCTACTCCAACAGTTTCTTTTCTCACACTTCTCGCCTGTTTTACTCCCTTCCATTTACTTACTTCCCTGAAAATTAAAATCTTCAAAAATTTAAATGCAACATCAATCATCATCTTCTGTCTTCTTGAATCCCATTCATCTTTTATCCTTTCCTCAATCCCCACTATACCCAGTCTTTTCTCCCACTTTCACTCTCTGTAACCCCCTGCATACTAGAGGCATTCCAGCATTGTTTAGGCTGAAATGATTAAAAAAGAAAATCCCTTTAGTAACTCAACTCTCCAAGTTTTTGTTTCCTCTGCTCTGGACAGGCATTGAACTCACAACTCTTTGGGTCAAATCAATTTTTCAACCACGAAGAAGCCTGGAGTGTACAACAGTCGAAACATTGTTAATATGGCAATAAAGATGAGGACAACACTTCAAATAATGTAAATAGTGTAAATAGTTACAATACCTCCTCTCAGAAATATAGACAGACAATAAAGACTGTTCAGAAGCCACCATCTTGATACATCTTCTTGACTTCAATAAGTCAACAGCTTAATGAGGAAAAAGCATGTACTTAAAACATCACATTTATTTTTCAACTTCACATATGCTGGCTCAGTGGAAAAAATGGACAAGCAACACAAAGGTGAAGAAGACTAGTGCATATCTGTCTATATTTCTAAGATGAAGTATTATGTACACTATTTACATTATTCGGACTATTGTCCTCATCTTCATTGCCATATTTATTACAATGTTTCAGCCATTGTATGCTCCAGCCTTCTTCAGGTGGTTGGAATGTCGAAAATTTATTTCGCTCACTGGGGGTAGACTGTTCTAGTTTCATGTGCTATGTTTAATGGATGTCAGTTATCAGTTATCTATTGTTAATTCCTCTCTCCAAGTTCTCCACTGCCTTAAACAGGTATTGAACTCACACACTTTAGGTCCTGTTACTGGATCTAACCAACGCCTTTATCTACTGTGCCATGTGTCCTGAAGAAGTCCGGAGCATACAACGGCTGAAATGTTGTAATAAACATGGAGACAAAGAGGAGGACAATAGTCTGAATAATGTAAATAGACTAGTGTGTATTAATTGACAGGAGATATTCCCTAAGCATGGAAAGTGGAAGAGAACAATCTATCCCTGTGGATTGAATATAGAGTTTGGTTGAAAATTCCAACAAGGTTACCAAGTACGATGACAGACAGCTGAAGAAAGTTGAAGAGTACAACAGTTGAAATGTATTTACAACAATCAAGATGAGCATACTTGTCTAAATAATAAAAGCATATAACAGCAAATAATTGCTTGTCTAAAAAATTCCAACATAGTCTCCTTTGTCAATGCATTTAATTCAGTGGTGAATATTATTCACAAACCCAGTGAAAGGGTTTTATCAAAAAAGCAGCTGATAACAGATTGTTAGGCTATAGAATTATTGATCCACTCTTGTATTGGATAAGTCTATGAAGATTGTTTACAAAAACAAAAAATATTTAAAAACATTGATCAAATAAAAAATGAATAGAAATACTAAAATATATTTGGTTTTAGTTAAACCTTTCTTCTAACGAAAACTATCTGGTTATCAATGTGGTATTCTTAGAAATTTCATTATGTTTGTTGGAATGACAATATCAAACATACATAAATATAATTCCTGAAAACCTAAGAAAAAAAAAACATCTTTCTTGCTGAATCCTTTTTGCTTTTCATGCTGTGGAAATGAGTCAGGCATAAACAAGAAATACTGACTTGGCTCTCAGCCAAATCAGAAATACATCTAAAATAACCGAATTGGAATAGTGAAAGAGGAAAATCCACAATGAGTAAGGATTAGGTTTCAACCAAAAAAAGCAATGGCTAAAATCACACAACACGGTGCAGAAATGGTTCACCCACCTGCACTGTTAAATAGCTTGTTCTTCACAATTATATTGTATGTGTTCAATGCTTCTGTATACATCTCATTAGCAAAATACACATTGGCCAGATTGAAAAGGACCTTGAATAAAAAAAAAAAAAAAAAAAAAAAAAAAGGTCATCAACGGAGGCAAAACACAATGCTCTCAAAAGAGTACTTACAAAAGATGAATTGTAGACAAACATTTGTTATTCTGAGAGTGCATATATAAATAGTGGGAAGTGGGGGGGTCTAGACAAATGTAAAAAAAAAAAAAGTCATATTACCAAAGGAGATAAAATATGATACAAGATATTTTTTAAGAATCAGCAAAAAGAGGAAGACAATGAATATAGTTTCAGAGAGTTAAATTATTACATTTTATTCTAAATATGTAGACTTATCTGGAATGTTCATAATCTGAAACCGTTTTTACATTATGAAACAATATGTAGTAGTAAAAAGGACTTTCAATTTAAGAAATTTTCCCAGTATTCCGTTGGATAAAATAACTTCTATGATCTTCATTACCAATACATTTTCTTTTGTGTGCTGCCTCCCTCTTCAAGACATAAGCAATCATGACTCAATACAACTTTCTCACTTTTGCTGCTCACAGTCAATCAGAATAGACAAATAGCAATGTTAAAATTATCTGTTTCGATTCAGTAAACATTTGGCATTCATTAACTGAATATTTAGTGTTATTGCTGGTTGAAATTTATAAAAAATCTTTTGATTGAAACAGATTTTTAGGAAATTAGAATTTTCAAGGCTACAGTTATAACTGTTATAGCACTTTCTAATATTGATGGAAGTTTCTTTCCAAATCTTTTTTTATGTTGAAAGTCAATGTCTTGATTATATCCTTATTTTTTTCTTCTCATTAGAACCATTTTTATTGTTGTTGCCGTTGGTTATGTTCAAGTGATGTGGTTTTCATTATTTGGTAAAGCTTTTTCTTTGTGATTTTGAAGCGCTATTCTATAGAAGCTGATAAAGGACGTTTTACTATTTAGATTTATAGGATTTATTTGTTTGAAGCTATTTTTAACCAGTGATCTAAGAAAACATTTGTATACAGATGATAGTTTAGATATTTCTGGATGAGTTGGATGCCATGCATGACATCCATAGGAGAGTCGAGATCTGATGAGGTTATATAAGATCATGACTTTAGTTTTCAGCTCAATATTTGGGGTCTATTTTTAGGCCTATTAGATTTAAAATTGCATATTTGGATAATACAGCAAATGAGTGAAAACTCCCCAACCAATTTCAAACAATTTTTGTCTGGTTACCAAAGAAATATGCAGCCTAGTATAATATTCTGCTCTTTTCATTAATTCTGAATGCTTTTAGCTAATTTCAGCATTCAGTTAGTATAATTAGGAGAACTATTTGTTTAACTAATTGAATGTGACCTACGCTAAATTCAAATTCACCGAAAAATTTTTTTAATATAGGTCATGACACGAAGTTGTCTGCATATAAAACCTAGACAATATCCTTATGAGCAGATACAAATTGTTTCATTATTTCATAGGATGTATCGAAGTCAGACATTCAAACTTCCCAAGAAGCAAAAATGAAAGAGATTAACATAATGCTTGCCAGTTATATAGTTGTTCAGCTTCTTACATAAAATTTTGTAGCTGATAAATAAAAAAAAAACCCTTTAAGAAACTGGAAAACAACTTAACCATTCAAAAAACAAAATTCAATCAAAAATACAAAACTAGTTTGGCAAATTGATATGCAACCGTTAAATAAAGAGCATCAATAAAAGATGTTAATAATACCAACTAATCAATGTAAGATGTTAATAATACTAACCAAACAACTGTAAATCCATACAAGATGTAAATAATACTAACTAAACATCAATACAAAGCAATATTAAATCAAAATGAAACATACAAATAGAATAGTAACCCATACAAGGTGCACAACAGTTCCTCTACTGATTATTATTATAATAACTCATTTTTTAGAATTCATGCCTTTGATGTGATTCTAGTCCTTCTTCCCATTGAGTTATGGTGTTAGTAGATCATGGATATACTAATGCCTATTGTGGGCCTTTGAAAGTGGAGAAAGGCAAGATATTTCTTCTCTTTTTTCAAGCTGCCTGTTAAGGCTGTTCATCAGATAATACTGCCATAAAAGCTTATATTAATCAATACAACACACAAGGACATCATATTCCCACCAATATTAGACAGATACTCGTAGACAACACAAAGAGATAGGAATTTAAAAAAAGTAGGAAAAAAACAGACTGTAAACACTTCATGATATAATTATAAAAAACAAACCCTACATTAAATAAAATCTTTTAGATTTGGAACTAGTACAGTCTAAAACACATAATCTAGATGATACTGCAAGTTGATTTACATATGGTGTAAAGTTTCCATCAACATGCTCAAAATATGATTTAGATTTATTATGTTCTAAACATCAAATTCCATCATCAAAAAAAACAAAACAAATAAAAGTTTTCTTGAATTTCAAAAATTTAAATAATTCCTGTTCTTCAAAATGACCAATGATAATTGAAAGCACTGAAATATATACAGAGGATTTTTACAGATATCAGAACCAAATATCAGTTATCTTGTATAAAAAGAGAAAATTACTAGCAAATTATTAAAGAAACTTTGTCTGTTATCTTCAATAAAATTTACTTAAATGAAAAAAATTGCTGCATATAATGTTTATAGTAATCAAAATTGATTGTTTTAAATTACTGTGTTACATTCCAGAAATGAAAATATAAACTGGCAAATATAGACATTGAAAGTCCCAACAAGGGATGTGCATTTCATAAAAAGGGTAATTGAGCTTTGCTTTGCTGTAGAGAACTCAGTAGCCAGAAGACTAAAGCACACCTAGCTAAAAGGTTGTTTCTTTGGGTAAAAGGAATGCAGGTTTGGTCATCCCCTAAGACATATTTTCATTAATAAGAACTTCTGTTTTTTTAGACCAGTGGACATTTATTTCACTGTTAAAAAAAAAAGGAATGTCCACTCAAACACATGTATCTACTAAAAAATAACTTTTATATAATAAGAGAGAAAAACAACTAAATATATATGTATCGATATAAGTATCAGTTTCATGATTCAATGCAATCTTCAGCTCACTTGACAGTCACCATGCAGTATAGATCCCTATGTCTATACTGTTTATGTCTATAAAGGCTCTATCTCTGATATCCAGCACTCTGCCACTATAAATATAGCAAATTTTAACGATACACATAGCACTATATATATATATATATATATATATATATATATATATATATATTGTGTATATTTAGGCAGCATATTTTCATTCAAAATGGTTTGGTTAAATAATTTAGACATATCATGTCGATTAGTTTTGTTGTGATCCTTTCAAGTTCACAGATTAATTTTGAAAGGATCACAATGAAAACTAATAGACATACGGATAAATTATTTAACAAAACCTGTTTGTGTGTATATATATATATATATATATATATATACTTTTAGTGCAAATAACTTTTCTTAGAGAATTCTACAATGTTCAAAAGCTGAAAATAAAATAATTAAAAAAAGAAAAAAAAAAACTTTGTTTATATTACCAATATCACTTAAGTGCACACAAATAGAAAATAAAACCAAAATTAATTAATATTTGAGTCAACTGGATACAAAATTGTTTTTGCACACCCTACAATTCCATCAAGTTTTTTTGCAGGTCAGCCCAGAAAAGGAAGTAATGAAAAACAAACTTACAGAATAGGTTAAATCAAGATTGATGGGCTCCCCTTGGGAAATCTGTTTTCGAAGACGAACAACAGCCTTCTCCTTCTTTTCAGCTTCCTTGGCTTTCTCCAGAGCCTAAACAAATATTCAGTACAAATGCATATTACACAAGACATTTGTAACATAATCCAAAAGGACGGGGTATATATAAATACAAACATTTGATGTGAAATGAATATATTAAGCAGGTCATACACACTCACAACAGTGAAAGAGAGTCAGAAATGATCAATTAAAATCTACAACATGCAGAAACATGTTCATATTTTCAGTTATAAAGTAAAGTAGAGGAATGTAACCTGAGATTAAAAGACAGTGACATGAGGATTAAAAAGGACAAGTGAAAAAATAGAGAGCACAAAATAAAGGTGTAAGGAAATTAAGGGTGAAGGGAGGGAAACTGAGGCATGAAGGATGCAAAAATACAAATACATAAAAAGAGGGAAACAAAAGAAAGATATTAAGCTTTTGACTTTTGACTCTGGAATTAAGAAACAATCAATCTTTATATTATAAAGATTTTATATTTTAATATAAAAGACTAATAGACATATATAATTAAATAAAAAACTCAATTTTTTTTTTTAATAATAACAATTGCAAAGAGATTCAGTAGGGAAAATGGGATAAATTTATATATTAGGTATGATGGGGTCTAAAATGGTAAAAATGCGTAAAGTAAAATGCCTGGAATTAAATTGTGCACAAACATGATATTTCATTGTGTTTTTTTTTGTTTTACACAAATTTGATTTGTGAAAAAATATTTCTATTCTCATATTTCAAAATGATCCAATAAATTAAAAAATAGAACTCAAATTATTAAAATACATTAGAAGAGGGAAGCAGACACTCTGTCAAAATGTATTATATATACAGAGTGCAATGTGTCAGATGTCATCATTTTATATTTTTAATTTCATACATGCACATTGTTTTTGATTTTGTCAACTGCACAATATAATAGGGTCAGTTAGGCATCACCTGTGAGAAAAAAAAAAAAAGGACCATGACACAATTCACTCCACTAAAAATTTGGAAATGGCATGCTGTACTGCTTAGCATTTTTGCCAGAAGCACCAATATGAACATTTCAGAGTGTTTGGGTGTAAATCTGAGGACAGTGCAGAGGATTCAGAAAGAGTTGGATGAATCTAATGGTCATTACAAAAGTACAATAGCTTGAAAAACTCACTCTGATCATTTTGATAAGAAAAGAACTCCTGAATTTCTTGGTAAGATCCAAGTCATGACTGACAACAAGTCAATCAGATCCATAGCCAGGTGTGGCACCATTTAACGAGGCAGAAAAAGAAAAGAAAGAAAAGAAGAAAAGGAGAGGCTAAGGACCGAATCGTGGCTGATAAGCAGAACACACACACGGCTAAGAGACAATGGATATATTGATAAGTAACAAATGGCGAAAGGGTGTCATTACAATGACAGGGAAATTCTGAGTAAAAAGAAAGGGAAAGAAAGAAAGAATCAGATGTGTTTTGATAATGGCTGTGTTATCTAGGGGTATGTAAACAAACTGCTGGTCAACTAGCCAAAGAAAAATTCAAATGAAAATGTTATTTCGATAAGTGACGAAAAACAGGCAACTAAAAGGACTTTGGACAGATAGGAAAAATTAATTGTATCAAAGCCACATGCACGACTGACCGAATTCTTTCGACGGAACATCCTGCAATAATAAAATTATGTTATCAGAAATATGTACCGAAGGGGAATGAATGGGAATTTAGAAATGTCTTTTCGGGGCGACGTTGGCCGTGTTAAGAAGACCACCCATTCTGATAATTGGCGATAAAATACCTGACGAAAACCACATGTAGAACAAGAGTTATGACCGCCATTGTTCATATTGTCCCGTTCGCGGCTAGAGAAATGATAACGGCGATTAAGAGGAAGAAAGGGAAAAGAAGGGATAATTTTTTTTAGTTAAGCAAGATATTTTTTTCTTCCTGAAACAAAGCCGCGGATTCGTCCACGCCTGACTAAGACATCATTGGTCAAGTGGTGATCACATGATGCACGAAGGAGGAGGAAAGATAATTTTTTTTAGTTAAGCAAGATATTTTTTTTTCCCTGAAACAAAGCCGCGGATTCGTCCACGTCCGACTAAGACATCATTGGTCGAGTAGTGATCACGTGACGCATGAAGGAGGCTGTCGCCGCCTCATCCAGAGTGTAGGTATGAGAAGCTGCTACGAAGAAGTGGGGAGGGCAGTTCACGCCCTCTGAAGTATGGTGAGAAGGTGGGAGTGAGGAAAGGTTCCCAAAAATGGAAAAGAGTGGAAAATCCCTGACCAGAAATAAAAGAGGTGGATATGTATTTAGAATTATCGAGGAACCCCCCGATGCCGACAGACCCACCCCGGTTTTGGTCGGCGTCCATATAAACGAAGCCCCAACGAGCAGAAATCAGTTCCAGCAGTTCCAGTGAGTTCAGTTCCAGAAAAGTTTGAGTTGAGTCTCCAGTTGAAGCCGCCTTGCAGCTAGCTGACCAAGATTCACGCAAATTCCGGACTCCTCTTCAACCCAAGAACAATTATTTTGAAGAGCGACTTAGATCCAGACCACCGAAATAAGTTTTTTTCGACTTTCGTCCAAGACACACCAAAAAACCAATTTCTTAGAGAGCAAACAACTTGAAGCGTTAAAACTCGCCTAACGGAAAAACGACGTGTCACAATCCATAGAATGGGTCGGGAGATAGATGCAGTCCTATGTATCGAACAACTAGACATAAAGTTTGTTACCTTTTTCTTTGATACTTTGAACTTTTGAGATTTCATTTTATTTTCTTTTATGCATATTTGTGTGGTATCACCCCCGTTGAACTCGGTTTGCATTACGGCCCCAACCACTGTTTGATCACGTCTGCCTAAGATCAATTCACAACATGGGTAGGCAGACTGGGGATCAATGCAGTTACCTTGGTAACCAGGCATTGGAAGCGAGTTGGGAACAGCGAGGCTGATATCAAATCTAACCAGATTCCCACCGAATCACCAAAAGGTTAGAACGTCACATTTGGGTGCCGCGACCGATACCAAGCCGGTTGGTCGTCACAGGACGAGACAACACGACTGACTCGACAGGCGGATGTCACGCGTTTGGAGCAGCGACACCCGAACGTAGCAACGAGGAGCGAACAGCTGGCGCCATGGGCGGTGACGCCACAATTGGTGCTGTTTAGGGATGTCACAGTTGGTGCCGTGGTAGACCAGAATAGAACATCACAGTTGGCGCTGCAACCAGGGGACGACATCACACAGGGACACAGGAGTGTCTGAATTTCTTACCAGGCAGGTAGTGCCTGAAAACATTTGGTATTTCTCATACAAAATGAGAAAGGGTCAAATTTTATCCCAAGCCATGAAGGACAAGAGGAAAGACTGCACTACAAAAAGCTTTTGAACAACTTTAACTGAACATCTATTGATTTTTCTCAGACAAGAAAAATTTCTGCCAGGATAAGAAGGTGAACACACAGAACAACTGATGGATTGCTGTGTCCCCAAAAGATATATCAAGAGTGATGAAAGCCAAATATCCAGTCAACAACATGGTGTTTGGAGTGATCACTATGTTATGTCTCCATTCATCTTCAAACAGGGCCTCAGACTCAACACGGAAGTCTACATCAAGTGTCTTGAGGAGGTAGTGCTGCCCTGGGTCAATAGGGTAGCTGATGCAAGACCCTATGTCAGGCAACAGGACTCTCCACCATGCCACACAAGCAGGAGAACCCAATCATGATCGTCAGACAATTTCTGCGACCACATCAACCCTCACATCTGGCCACCTAACTCCCGAGACTGCAACCCCTTGATTATTATGTGTGGGGCATAGTTGTGTAAGAGACTAACAAAACTCCTTGTAACACCAAAGATGAACTGAAGGAAAGGATTATGGCAGCATTCACTAACTTAAACAAAGAGACCGTCCAGAAGAGTTGCAGGAGATTCTAAAGTCAACTGGAGGGCACATTGAAGCTAATGCTGATTTTATTGAATGAATTTACTCTTTAATATTTCAAGATTTATTGTGTAATTTTAGTAAATATATTTGTTAAAATGAGATGTCAGTGTTGCTTTCATTTTTGTGTAATTTAGATGACAATTTATCACTTGCACCCTGTATATATGGTTTCTGTAAAGTAAAAGCTGTCTCAAGAAATGTAAACATTAAAAATGGCAACTGAAAGGCAGTTTGCAAGAATGCTGAATTTTAGCTATCTATTGGGACAAGCAAAGATGCCTTCCAAAAGCTAAGCAGAATATTAAGAAACAGAAAAACTATATTAGAAACAAAGAAAAGAGTGCTGAACTGTTATGCAATATTTGTCCTCCTATACAGCGGTGAATGCTGGACAATCTCCTCATAGATGAAGAAGAGACTTGATGCAATAGAAATGTGGTCCTAAAGAAGGATGCTGAGGATACCATGGACTGAAAATGTGAGCAATGACAAAGTTTTAGAGAAAATGAAAACAAAAAGGAAACTTATACTTAACATCAGGAAGAGACAACTGAAATTTCCAGGCTGCATAATGAGGAAAGTGGGCTTGGAAAATGTGATACTCACCGGACAATTTGAGGACAAGAGGGATGGGAAAATAACACAAAACAAACTTAGTGAGCTTGAGTAAATGGATGGCAAAACAAGGTTTAGGAGAAATAACAAAAAGACAAAATATATTAAGAGCTACAAGGGACAGGACGATGTGGAGAGCTATGATCGCCTATGTACTGAGGGGACACAGCACATAAAGAAGACATGATTTGAGTGTGTGAACACACATTGCAACATAAAAATTAACAGAATATTTTCGGATGCTGTTGTAATTCCATCAAAATGAAATTGTGAAATAAAATATAAATTCAAACATTAATTAAAACTGTTAATTATATCATTTCTCAGAGAAATCATCTTAAATAAATTTCATTCTTTTATGTTTACATATGTGTTCAAGATGGAGTAAGTAAATTCATGTTCATCCCAAAACAAGTTGAAAATAAAAAAAGTGATATCTTTACCATATGTAAACTCACACACAGACAGAT